ACTTGCTTTACCAATAAAATTGTATCGATTTTTCCCAAAACTATACTCTCTTCATTTCACGACCAATGTCTCATTTTGTTGACGAATTCGCGTCTTATATTTTCAAGCCCGGAGAAGTATGAGACATATTCCTTTTGAATGTCATCCATGTAACATGGGTTAAACCGAGTGAAGGAAAAAGTGCGTGAAATTTCTAATGTATTAATAAACTCTTTAAATAATGTTTTTAAAAGTTGCACTCTTTACAAAGAAATCATACAATGGCAACTTCTTCCAGAACCTGCAATTACTTGTTGAGAAAAATTGCACAAGGCACCGATATTTTATGAAGACAGTTTTTCGAAATTGAACTGTTAAAATAAATTGTTTCAATTTCGATACAATTTATTTTTACAGGTTCTTACCTATCTTTAAATGAAGGGCATATTAGTTAGACTCAACTAAAAGTAACACAGATTTAGCATTCATTCAATAACATTAGGCTTGTATCATTGCCAGGGGTTTTATGGCGCAACTTGCGTCTCAATAAAAGTTTTGAGGGGGGTACATATTTACACGGTTTTGAATGTTTATAGAGAGACAAATTTCTACGGGGTTATAAATTTTGGAATGAAAAGTTTCAATCCAGGCGGCAAGTGAAAAAGCATGGACCAGACCATACCAAGTTGAATTGTATATGATCTACGATTTTCTCAATTTTACTTTTACTTGAGGGGAGGGGGGTAAGTTCATTCCCCATCATCCTTGGGGAAGGGGGAAGATGGACATCCCTCATGATTACTACAATAAAAACATTCAAGACAAAAAATTGACCGAAATTGCATATGGACATTGTCAAAAATGTTGAAAAATATACAGAATAACATGGGTCCACTGTTGATGGACCAATTTACGAAAACTCTTTGGTATGGATATTTCACATTAATAAATATGGGCATAAATGGTGAAGATGTGGGCCCTAAGCGACTTCTTCCTGTACTTCAAATAACAACAAAGTTGCTCTTTATCGAGCAAGTTTTCTATAAATTTCATTAAACTTTATATTTTATTGATTTAGTTTTCCTCCATAACCAATATCATGTTAAAAAAATCGTGTGCGTGCAACACACAATTTTTACTCACCGCTCAACTATAAATAGAAATTATTTTCTGGCCTTGTTGGGCTATTATAAAATTTTTGAAATGCATTTTTAACTGAGCTAAAGTTAAAAGATTACAGCTAACAAATCATAAATACTATTAAAATAACAAAAGTCCTATTTATAACACCACCGGTTGATTATGGATTGTACAACCCGTTAATTATGGATTGTATGACTATTAGTTATTAAACTGTTATTTTCTATTGCAAAGTTTACTAAAATGGAATTAAGAGATTAGCATTGTCTGTCATAGACAGGTCAAAAGTTGTCACACTGATTGTAAGTGGATTCCACTGGAATATCAAAAAGGGGAAAATTTATCAAATTATTCACTAATTTAATTTTCTAAACGGTTACATAATGATTTTTCGGAATAAACGGACGATAGATACCTAATTATTTAAATATAGTATCAGATCTGGAATTATTAAGCTACAATAAATATATTTAAGGTTATAAACATAGCCATGAAATATTTTTATATTTCACGTCTTCTTTCACTTTAGCTCAGTGAAATAGTATCTTAAACAATGTCACTGCCTTGAATCTGTGGGTTTTAAATACTTTTTAAAAAAAAAATTTAAAGTTTCCATTTAGTAAGAAATTTTCTTTTAATTTCCTTGAAAACACCTGATTTACGTTAAACATTGTTAGTTTTGAGAACTTATTATTTATATTTTTGTCGTCACTCTCCGTTACCTTCTACAATTTTCTGTTATATATATTTTTTTTTAATTCTCCGCTTTCCAACGATATATCATACGCATACCTTCTGACTATTATTTCCGGATATTCATTTTCAACCTGGATAAGTATTTTTCTCCTTTATTTAATTATCAAATACTTCCAGAAGTTATATTTAGCATTTTCCCATAACTCCTAACAATGATAAATAGTTATTATTTATAGTAAACCAAATTAAATATACTTTAGAACAAGACATGATAATGCTCTGATTTCACAAAGGGAAAATTCATCAAATTATTCACTAATTTAATTTTCTAAAAACTTACATGACAATTTTTCGAAATAAACATTGATACCTAATTATTTAAATATAATATCAGGTCTATAATTACTAAACTACTATAATTACTATAATTATAATTATACTATAAAAACTATAATTAATAAACAGTAAATGTATTTAAAATTATAAACATTTGCTTTATACATCCATGAAATGATTTTATTTTTTACTTCTTCTTCCACACAAGTACAATGAAATAGTTTTTTTAACATTGCCACCAACTAAATTATCTTTAGCAGAAAGGTGCTCAATTCACATCACAGACTTTGATCTCGCACCTTTTCTTTCCATTCTAGAAGTTCGGCAATTGCAAACAGAGCCCTGGCTGTTATCAATTCCAAAAATACATAAAGTAAAATGTAACAAGGCCCTTGCTTCAAAGTTAGGAATGGCAGAATTTACGGACTTCCAAATGAAACATTCCAATAGGGAATATCTTTTCACAGATGGGTCAAAAACTCAAGATGAAGTCGGTGCGGCCACTGTTTCTGATAATGTGGAAATTTTTTCATTGCCCCTTATTGCAGTTCCTACCATGCAGAACTGTTTGCAATAAATCATGCCGTTTGTAGTCTCACCTGCGATAAACAACGAATTTATATTTGTACAGATTCGGAATCTGCACTCAAAGCTATTAAAAACTCGTTTTCAACAAACTTATTCGTCACAGACACGGTTAGGCATATAAAAACATTGGAGGGTGTAGGATGTAAGGTACAATTTTTGTGGTTACCGGGTCACTCAGGTATCAGAGGTAATGAGCTAGCCGATATCATGGCAAAACAAGCAATTACAGAAGGAACTCCAGTAGGGGATGCTTTTCCAAAAGAAGTGATAGCTTTGGTAAAGAGAAAGGCTCTGGAAAGATGGCAGGGTCTCTGGCATGTGTTAAGAGACAATGAGTTGAGAGTGATCTAGCCCTCTGTAGTTCCCAATCGAGCGGACCTTCAGTTAAAAAGAAGAGAAGAAATAATCCTGACAAGGTTCCGAATTGGCCACTCACGGCTAACTCATGAGCACCTGAGGAGAAAGGGGACGCCCCCTCAGTGTCTCTGCTGCTGGGTCAATTTAACAATCAGGCACATTTTGACTGAATGTTATGGATATGAAAAACAACGTAATGAAGTTGAATTGGAGAACTATATAACTGAAATTCTAACAAATACAACCAAATTGGCAAAAAAGTCTTTACATTTCTTCAAATAACTCACCTTTACAACAAAATTTAAAATTTGCTGACTCTTTTTTTGTTTTAAATATTTTATGCGTTCAATTTATTGTTAAATTTAATTTCATCTGATGTAAAATAAATATTTTGTAAGTGCTAAAATGACCCGTAAGAGGTTGAGGAGCCCCGCCATTGTTGTAAATAAATAAATGAAAACAATGCCATTGCCTTGATTAGGTAGATTTTAAATACTTTTTACAAACTTAAAAATATTTTTTAAAGTTTACATTTAGTTAGTAAATTTCATTGAAAACATGTGATTTACCTTAAATATTATTATTTTTCAAAAATTATTATTTGTATTTTTTTCGCCACTCTCCGTTACCTTCTACAACTTTCTCTATTGGATATTGTTTTTTTCTAAAATTCTCTGCTTTCCAACGATATATTATACGTATAGCTTCTGACTAGAATTTCCGGGGATTCATTTTCAACATGGATAAGCATTTTTATTTTTTTTCTCCTTTATTAAATTTACAAATTCTTTCAAAAATTATATTTAGCATCTTTTAGTAACTTTTAATAATGAGAAATAGTTAATAATTTGAAATGAACCATATTAAAGTTACTTTAGAGGAAGACGTATATGAACATTGGGCATTTAAGCCCTGTAAAGTGATATCAACGGGGATAAGACTTAAATGATATTAAAGACCACTTAAATATAGAATGATACACCGAGTTTAATCAAAATCGTTTGAGCCATTTTTGAGAAAATTGTAAAAGTATGTTTCAGCGTTGATATAAAGTGGCACTTGCGATTAGCCGATTTTAAAGAAAGAGTTGCTAGGACATCTAAGGCATATACCTATCTTAAATACGTAATATCAGTTTCGTACGACTTTTCATTTTCAAGCTAGACTGTTCACATACACAAAGACACAGACCATTTTTCGGGATTTGGTTATTTGGACTCAGGTTACCTCAAAACATGTATTTCCGTTAAAAACTGAGACTCGAAAATTTTCACGATCGCAATAGTTACCCTTACTATATATTATAGCTTACTATATATAGCTTAAAATAAATAAATGAAAAACATGTTTTTCTATAGATTGTAGCGCAAAACCGGCTCTAACGATTGGTAAGTGAAAGTAAAAATAGTTCTTTCTGTAAGAAACCAAATAGATGCAATATTGTTCTTCAGTTATTAAATGAATGGCTTTATTTTAATTTTGGTACATATTTTATATTTTTATTTTCCACTTTCATTTATTAATCCGCACCTGTAAATTACAACTAGCGACAATCAGCAGATGGGCTGCGACAAAGGGCAGATAAGCATGTGATGAAAAAAAATAACAGAAATAATAATAATAAATCAAATAAAAATATGGAAGATGCTTGACAGACATGAGTATTTGTTATTTTGTATGTACACATACACAATGGCTGCTGATGAACATTTGCAATCTAGATGTCGCTATCTGTTGAGTAAGGAGTAAACATTCTTCGATGGTAGTGCTCTCAGTCGGCTATTCCTAGTAATGTTTCGTTCACAGCTGATTGTTTTGTAATTTGTGGTTGACTCGTTTCTGATCTATTTTGAAATGGCAATTTTTAAACTTCAGTGAAGAGCGTATAAACTGAGAATTTCGGCATGGTGAACCCACATGTGCTATTGGGTAAGTCGGGAATTTTTATATTTATGTAAATAATTGTTTAGTTTGTCATTTAGATATTTTGTTTTTATTTAATTTTAGGAGGTGGTACCGGTTTCGTTGGTACAGCATTAAAGCAGATTTTATTAAATAAAGGCTATGATGTCACTATTATTTCAAGAATGCCAGGGGCTGGAAGGGTTACATGGGTAATTTATTAATTCATAGAAATCTTTGACTTACAATTATTTCAAAATTTTATTTGTATTGCATGATTTCAGTTTGATATTTGCTCTTCTGGAATCCCTAATGGGGTTACTGCTGTTGTAAATCTTGCAGGGCAAAACGTTTTGGATCCTACTCAGCGGTGGACTCCAGGATTCAAACAAAATGTTTGGAATAGTCGTGTTAATACAACTCAAACATTAGCTAAAGCTATCAAGAATGCTAGTGAACGCCCTTCTGTTTTTGCTACGATATCTGGTGTTGGTAAGAAATACTTATGATAACTTTACATCTGTTCCGTAGATTCTAATGGTCTGGAAGTTGATTGGATTAAGTAGGGGTAATTTATTGAATGTAGACTACTTAATTGAAGCATGATGACGTTTCTGTGACAATTAAAAGTTAAATTCAAGATAAAAAAATAAATAGTCTCTGGTTAATATTATGAGTGTTTATTGCTACTTCTGTTCAATTAGGGTTCCATCCAGTGTAATGATTAGAATTTTGAATCCGTTTAATGATTAATTCCAATCACAATAATTCTTGAACATTTTTATTTAATATACTTCTTTTCTGATGAAAAAATAATTAGCGCACATATTCCTTTTGCAATTTAATAATTGTTATGCTTGTTTATTTAATGCCAGGATATCTAAAAACATATTTTTCATGAAGACTTGAGACTATTATGCCTCTTAATTATTTTTTTATTTTTTATTTTTACACCATAATTTGAATAATATTAACAGTTTTTAAATAAGTATAAATTTATAAAAAAATTTCTATAATTGGTCATGATTATATTCTTTTTTTTTCTGCTGTGCAGCATGAAATTATTGTATGTAATTTATTGATTTTGATGGAATATATGCGAAACTACTTATATTTATAAATTTCATGTAAATAAGTCAGTAATGATATGAAAATGACGTGAAAAGGAACTAAATATTGGCAGCAATCCAGTTAATTTATTTAATTTTAGATGAAGTATAAATTACTAGTTTCATTTACTACATCTTAACTAAGTGAATTAGCAATTTTTGTTTTATACTAAACAATGTTAGAGTGTCTTATTATGAATCATAAGTTAGTAAGGATCAAAACTACTGAACATGTCCTAGTAAATTTCTAGAGAAATATATATATATATATATATATACATATATATATATATATATATTTTTTTTTTTTACTCAGGCATTTATAATCCATCTTCATTATGAATCATAAGTTAGTAAGGATCAAAACTGCTGAACATGTCCTAGTAAATTTCTAGATATATATATATATATATATTTTTTTTTACTCAGGCATTTATAATCCATCTTCGGAAAAAGAATACGATGAGAATTCAGAAATTGGACCGAGCTTTGACTTCCTAAGTAAACTTGCTTTAGAATGGGAAAGTGTAGCTCACTTGCCAGCAGAATTAGATGTAAGACAAGTTATCATCAGATCTGGTAAGTGAACAATTTTATTAATGTCAACAATGTCAACAAGTAAAAAACTGGACAAAAGAGAAAAATTAGATGTTAGGTGAAATTTGGAAAAATTCAACCGTATAGCCTTGATTCCCTAAAAGGCAGGTAAAAACAAACTAACCCATCACTGTTTCACAAATTTATGCATTTTTAGGACGTTCACTTACATGAAGATTAATAGTAAAAAAAAAAAAAAAAGAATCATAAACAAAGATTTGTGTTTTTAGTGACAAAAGGCTGTGTGGTTGAAAACTTTATAATATAAGATACTAGCTTTACCCGGCCACACGCTGCTGTGGCTTAGCCTGGCAAAATGAAAAAGAAAGAAAATAGAAAGCACATATGAGTAGATTAGTAGCAAAGGACATCTGCCATTTTTAAAAAGTTGGGAAACAAATTTGTCTGTAAAATGGCTTCAATTTAAACTAATTCTAATGGTTTTTTTTCTCATGATTCAAATTGAACATTCAGAATCATCTGAGTGAATGCGCCATCATTCTTAGGTAGTAATGCATAAAGGACAAACAGACAGACAGACAGGCATACATTCATTTTTATATAGGTAGATTAGTGCAGCCATAGACAAAAACACCTTTGAGAAATGATATATACAGATATCTTTCACAACTGTTTTTCTTACTTTTAATTGTAACTAAACTTTTACAAATTTGTCTGTAAAATGGCTTCAATTTAAACTAATTCTAATGGTTTTTTTTTCTCATGATTCAAATTGAACATTCATAATCATCTGAGTGAATACGCCGTCATTCATCAGAAACAGTCTGAGTTGAACTTATAAAACTGAATTAAAAAAATAATTTAAAAAACGTATAATAGTATTGCCCTACATAAGGAGAATCATATAAATTCTTCAAATGATAATTTCAATTACTGTAGTAATTATAAAACTATCGATTAATAAATAAAAATAAAAAATGCTTGCCAACGTTCGGTAGTCAGGAAGCAAAAGGAAACTGCCTTTTCTGAAGAGAAATCAGTAAATGTTTAAAACTCAATAACTCTGCAACGAACTGTCCGATTCCGATGATTTTTTATTTTGTCAGCGATTCAGAAATCTTTCAAATAAATGTGGGTATTATCAGTCAAAAATTGTGTACTTTTTTAGTTATCATCAAATAAAATATTGAATTCATTGTAACATTTTTCAGCGTGTTTTCGGGAAAGTATGTTATACACATAAATTAAAAGGGTTTCAAGGGGAAGACTTTAGCCAAGTTTCGTTAAAAATGGTAAAGCCGTTTTGGCGCTACAGTTTATAGCGACACATTTTTTGCGGCTTTGAACAGAAAAATCTTTTACATTTTTATTTTTTTTACATATATAAAATTATCGTAAGACAGAAGTACTATGCCAGAAACCTTCCCAGGAGTGTACGGTACAACTTCCTAAAGTTTCATGGCGATTGGTTGAATGGTTTAGTAATGCACTAAGGACAGACAGACATACATTCATTTTTATATATGTAGAAGAAGATTCGATTGCCTGTAATATTTCTTAGCGCGGCCAAGATAATGTAATAACTGTAGTATCTTCCAAATATGTACAAATATTTAAGAAAAAAAATGAGATAATCCAGGAGTCTACAGGAAAAAAACATCAAATAATTGTAAATTTGAATTAATTTAAAAAAAAAAAAGAAATTAACTACCTATATGAAATGGTGTTTAAGTGGATCTTGAAGTCCTATTAAATGTAATTAAACGAACAAGAATACTTTAAGAGATAGTTTTTAATATTTTTTTCTGTTAAACATGATTATATTTTACCATTATGGGGGGGAGGGGAAGCAGAAAGCCCCTCTCCTCCCCCCCCATAGATCCGCCTGTGTATGCTTATAATTTTTATTTCTTTTGACCCCTGATCAGCTGTTTAATATAACCTACCTTTACTGTATTTTTGGAACTTTCGGTTTCGTTAAGTATGTACTAAATATGGCTTGATGAGATTTCAATAGCAATTTCTTTTCTTTTTTTTTTTTCTTTGTTTAGCAGGTCAATTGTTCACCTGTATGATAGAAATTCATGGCTTTATTGTTTGGAATTTATTGGTAGTTTATAGCGATTTTTTTTTTCTATTTGAACGATTCGGGGATGCTTTGTATTTAATATTGCCCGAGTCTAACTAATAATATTACATATATATCTAGCAGAGATGGTTGTGGATAAGTCATAAAAAATTACGAAGAAGAGAAAATAATGAAACCAGTTGGTTAAAGAAACAAAGTTTTGTAACAGCCGAAAAGAGTATTTTTCTATAGACATTATAGATGGCTCTTAAAGTTTTTGAAATTAAATTAAATTCATTTTCCTTCAAACTTTTAAATCCTTCAAATTTTCATAACTAATAGATTCATTAGGGAAAAAACAGAAATGAAAGGAATATTTAGTTAGTTGCGTTTGCATATCTGTGCCCCAGAGGCAATGAATACATTTTTTTATTAAATAATTTAGTAACTAAGAAAGAAATTCTAATAGCTTAATGTTAAGAAAAATTGGCTCTTCTGAACAGACATAAAACTGTTTATGGTGTCCTTTACGTCCAGAAAACTAATTCGAAATAATAATAATAATAAGAAGAAGAAAATCATCGAAATTGAGCTTTATCTTTAGTATATCGAATAATTAAAAAAAAAAATATATATAAAAACAACTATGTTGTGTGCTTTAGACCACACGCTAAAAATAAAAACACCTTCAAGCCGAGAATAATACTATGAAATATAAATTATAAATAATAGCCCATTATATAGAGAATGAAATGTTAAACATTTCCCTCGCTTACAGTGAGCAGGTCTGATTTTTTGTTTCTGAGATATAAAACTTGTTATCGTTTGGTTTACGCCACTATTTTTCTCTTTTTGCCTCTCTAACACGGTGTCACGTTGAATTGTGATGACATTGAATAAATAAACAATTAGCGATTATTTAATGTTTTTTACTGACGAACTCCCGAGCTGACCATATCTGTCTTTAATTATCGTATAGTCAACCATCCACTCATATAATAAAAGAAAAAGTGTTTTACTTGTTTTTAAATTGTATGAAACATGTAACAAACTGTCGAATAATGGTATAATGCTTTAAAAAGAACGAAACTACATTTAAATCTAGTTCCAAATCGTTACTATAACATAATGTACACCACACATTATAATTAGTTAAACTTAACTGTAAAAGTTTAGTTACAATTAAAAGTAAGAAAAACAGTTGTGAAAGATATCTGTATATATCATTTCTCAAAGGTGTTTTTGTCTATAGCTGCACTAATCTACCTATATAAAAATGAATGTATGTCTGTCGGTCTGTCTGTCTGTTTGTCCTTTATGCATTACTACCTAAGAATGAGGTGTATTGACTCAGATGATTAGGAATGTTCAAGTTGAATAATGAAAAAAAAAATCATTAGAATTAGTTTAAATTGAAGTCATTTTACAGACAAATTTGTTTCTTGACTTTTTAAAAATGACAGTGGATAGCAGGCTACTCTATGCTCCGAGGGAGCATCGGTTGGAAGCCGTTCCTAGCGACGAAGCCTTAACCAGCCTCCAACCTAACTCCCTGGACCAGGTAAGACCAAGGAGTATGCGGGCACACAACCGGCGCCCACGGAAAGGACAAACTCTACTACCATAACTTCCGTCCACTCGTCCACACTATACCAGAAGACTAGCCTGAACAACGTCAAGACTAGCTGAACACTGGTTTCGTGCAGCGAGTGGTCGTAAACACAACGACCACTACGACTGCCACGGCCGAACAGTGCAAGCACTCTCGCCGTCCACCCATAGCGCCGCCAGGGCTCCGGCGACGCCCCGCGTAGTACCAATTCGGTCGGAAGCACTGCTTCCCTGACCTCAGAGCACGATTGGTCTCAGGCTCCGCAATCTTATGATCGCTACGGCTTTACATTGACTGCCGATGTACAGGAGGATGCCTGCACCTCCGCAGTCAATGAGGGACACGACTAAGGGTTCGAGACGATGACCGTACCCGTTTTTAAAAATGACAGATGTCCTTTGGTATTAATCCACTTATACGTGCTTTCTATTTTCTTTCTTTTCCATTTTGCCCGACTAAGCCACAGAAGTGCCGTGTAAAGCTAGTATTTAATGAAAACAAATCAGTCATCATTTTGAAGATTACTTTCACGATTACAAAAATTAAACAAACAAAACTGTCAAATAGGAGCTGTGCTGAGGAATTGATTCTTTTTCTAGATTGTAGCTCCTAAATTGCTCTAAACTTACATTAAGTCTTCCTCTTAAAGCTTTTTAACTATTCATATGTATAGTATTTTCTTCAGAAAAAAAGCTATGAAGTAAAGAAAACTCAAATTGAACAAAAAAATACTTCACAATCCGACCTTTATCAGCAAAAATACAGCTTACTGGACTTAGTATGTACTCATAATTTGATTTATTTACTATGAATTCTTTGAAAGGGCCAACTAGTGAAGGAATGTTAGAGATTTCATAATGTACTGCTTTATACGTTTGTTGTGATATAGTATAATATACAAATTTCAGCACTCAGAAAAGGTTCTTGCTGGCTCTGATCACATTCATGTCTTAAAAACTGTGATAGCTTTATTGTATTCATATTTTGTGCTTAAATGATTTAAAACTAGTCTTTGTCTTTAAATACATGCAGATAAATGTGCCCCCAATCTGTCGTACTGTTTCATTTTTTAGAATGAATTTTTCTGATTATTATTTTCGGTATATTTATATACGATAATTGGTATTTTTATTGCAGGTGTAGTTCTTGGCCGCCATGGAGGTATGATCAAACAGATGTATATTCCCTTCTTCTTTGGCTTGGGCGGTCCTATTGGCAATGGAAAGCAATACTTACCTTGGATCCATGTTAAAGATTTGTGTAATATGTTCGTTTTTGCTATTGAGAACAAAAATGTTTCTGGTGTATTAAATGGTGTAGCGCCTCAGGTATTTATTTTTTATGGGTGTCATCATTTTAAAGTAATCTTCATCTGCCAATGTTATTTAGAGGTTTTTTATTTAATGATACTGTGCAGTAATTTATTTATATTGATCCTGACCAGATTCTGGCATTAGCACGCTAATTTTTAACTAGCTAACATTCAGCTAAAAAGCTAAAATTAGCAGCGCTAAATATGAAGCTAATTTAGCTTCTTACTGTTTAAGCGCAGTTAACTTTATAGCTAAATTAGCTATTAGCGGCAACGAACAGCTAACTTTTAGCTTAAGCTAAATTAACTGTTAACTTAACTAAAAGCTAATTTTATGCTAACACTGGAGGAAAATTATTTTATTTCATTTCATTAATTGATATTAGGATTGACTGTAATGTAATTGGGGCGCTTTTTATGAAAATTCTATCGGGATTTGTATTTTCCTGCCCCTCCCCACAGCATCTTTTTGAAAGTTTTTTGATTTAACAGATATAAGGGCCGAATATTATGTGTTTTGAAAATAATATCGGATTTGAGATAGTGTCCCCGGACACCGAGTTTTTGTAACTTTTAGGATTTAATCGATATCAGGGTCGACTATTAGGTTTTGGGGGGCGCTTTTAATGAAAATAATGTCGGATTTTAGATAGTGCCCCCAGGGACCGACTTTCTGTAGCTTTTAGGATTTAATCTATATCAGGGTCGACTATTAAGTTTTGGGGGCCGCTTTTAATGAAAATAATGTCGAATTTTAGATAGTGCCCCCGGTCACTGACTTTTTGTAACTTTTAGGATTTAATCGATATCAGGGTCGACTATTAAGATTTTGATGGCGCTGTCTATGAAAATAATGTCGGTTTTGAGATAGTGCCCCTGGGTACCGACTTTTTATAACTTTTCTGATTTAATCGATATATGGGTCAACTATTAGGTTTGGGGAGGCGCTTTTTTTGAAAATATTGTTGGATATCAGATAGTGCTCTCGGGCACCTACTTTTTGTAACTCTTTTAATTGAATCGATATCAAGGTCGACTATTATGTTTTGGGGGGCTCTTTTTATGAAAATGATCTGAGACAGTGCCACTGGGCACTGACTTTGGTTGACTACCTTAAACTTGACAGTATATTTTCATAAAAAGAGTCCCTCAAAACCTAATTGTCGATTGTGTTATCGATTTAATTCTAAAAGATACAAAAAGTCGGTGTCCGGAGCACTATTTCAAATCCAACGTTATTTTCATAAAAAGCGTCCCCCAAAACCTAATAGTCGACCCTGATATCGATTAAATCCTAAAAGTTACAAAAAGTTGGTGCCTGAGGGCACTATCTGAAATCCGACATTATTTTCATTAAAAGCGAAGCGCCCTCCAAAACAATATATGTCGACCCCCAGCTTCTTGTAACTTTTATTATTTAATCAATACCAGGGTTGACTATTATGTTTTGGAGGGCGCTTCGTTTTTAATGAAAATAATGTCGGATTTCAGATAGTGCCCTCAGGCACCAACGTTATGTAACTTTTAGGATTTAATCGATATCAGGGTCGACTATTAGGTTTTGGGGGGTGCTTTTTATGAAAATACGTTGGATTTGAAATAGCGCTCCGGGCACCGACTTTTTGTATCTTTTAGGATTAAATTGATAACACAATCGACAATTAGGTTTTGAGGGGCTCTTTTTATGAAAATATACTGTCAGGTTTAAGGTAGTCAAGCAAAGTCAGTGCCCAGTGGCACTATGTCAGATCACTTTCATAAAAAGTGCCCTCCAAAACATAATAGTCGACTTTAATATCGATTAAATCCTGAAAGTTACAAAAAGTCGGTGCCCGGGAGCACTATCTAAAATCCGACAATATTTTCATAAAAGGGCCCCCGAAAATATGATAGTCGACTCTGAGATCAGTTAAATTTGAAGAGTTCAGCTTTTAGTTGAAGTTACAGATAAAGCTAATTAGTTGTTAGCTATAAGAAAAGCTAATAATTAACTTAAGCTAAAAGTTAGCTTCTTGGTCCTGCTAAAAGCTAATTTAGTAACAGAATTATCTGCCCGCTAAAAGCTAATTTAGCTGTTAGCTGTTAGCTATAGTTAACTTTTGCCCAACTCTGATCCTGACCATAAAAGTTTGGATAAGTTTCATCTCTTTTGGATTTATCAATTGATCACATAAGTGATCACATAATTTCATGTTGTCTCTTCTCAAGTTATAAAGAAGTTCTCTTTTGAAGGAAGTAGGAATTGTGTTTTATTCAGTTCATCTAAACCAATATTCTACATGTCTGAAATTGTAAACTAGCAATGTTAGCTTTAATATCAGTTAAGGTCTAGCGTGAGATGGATTAGACTTATAAGATTTAATAATATTTTTTTAATTTTAAAAATAAACATGTTATAAATATGTTGTTTTATAACCTTCTGTGATAAAAGACTCTACTGTTGGTAACATTATAAACTTCTTTGAAAATTAATCTATTTCCAGTTCTTTCTTTCTTTTTTTTTCTATTTATCGAAGTCAATAGTTAACTTATCATTTGTCATCAGTTGATCATATATTATTTTATATGACTTTTTCTTTGAGAAACTGTCAAATTTTGTTGATATATCATACTTACTATTTTAGAATCATTATTAGTATCTTAATTGACTATATCAAGTGGTATTATCATTGACATTGATTGGAATTAAGTTCTATCAGCTCATAATTTATTTTTACTGTGATTATGTGGGAGTATAAACAAGTAAACAATTAAAAGTGAAGATTTTATTGAAGTAATTAATATGTGTAGTGAAATAACCATTATAAATTATGAGGAAAAGCAAAGTTTTTTCAAACTATTTCTTGTAAGTTGTTCTGTTTAATTAGTTTAAAAATTAAATTTTATTTCTTCAAAGAAATTATTTTAGGTGTTTTAGAGATTCATTTACATCATTATGAGCCTAATAACTGTGTAGAAATATTCTTTTTTAAAATAATTTATTAATTAAATACTTAAACATATATATTTTTTATTATTACAGGTTATTACTAACCAAGAATTCACATCTGCTTTTGCCTCTGCTATGAATAGACCCGCATTCTTTCGAGTTCCTGAATTCTTGTTGGACGTGATGTTTTCAAAGGAACGTGCGAAAATCATGACTGAAGGTCAGAAAGTTCTCCCCAATAGGGTTAAAGAACTTGGGTTTAAATATGAATTTCCATGCATAGAAGATGCTACTAAAGATGTATCTAAATTTTTTTACAAAGCTGAAAACCCTGTATGATTTGATAAATTTTGTCAGGTGTTTGTAGTTTTTCATTTAACCAAGCATTAGAGATTCTGATAAGTTTTTGTCTTTTCTAAATTAAAAAAGTATAGATCAAAATTCTGTAAAACTTTGTATTGTAAAAATTTTTACCCTTACCACTACCACTACCAGTTCTGCTCAGCTCAATTTTTCGATAGAACAATTTTTATTTTATTTTATTTTTTTAAATGCTGCTGGTTGCTAATTGTATATTTTTCCTATGATTATATTTTATGATTAAATGAAAAATGTATTATCAAAAGTTTTATTTAATTATGGAATTGCTTATGTTTGCTACCATACATCTAAATTTGAGATTTTTACCTTCCTGGAAGGAATGCCTTTTTAAGTCAAGAGGAGGTTCAGGTCTAAATGTTGAGCTACGCCAGTCTCTGGTTTAAGATCTCAGCTGCAGATACAGCCATATTCTCTTTCATATCACTCCACCATTGGAGCATAAGTCTGTCCTTCACATTCCCTCCATATAAATTGAATGATTTTTAAAATTAAACCATAAAAATTAAAAATTAAACAAAAAACATTGATTTAACTTTTGTGATCTATGTACGATGATGTTATTTTTGATTGATTTATTGCTACTTCTAAACCTGACTGGTGGTCTCTAGTCTTTAATTGTTATGTTTACTTTATCTACTTGGAATTTATTTAACATATATATGAGTGATACGTTATAATTCACATTATTTGTTTGTAATTATTTGTTATTGTCATTAATTATTTATGTAATTGGCCGAAAGACTGAATAAATTTAATTAGCTTTTAAGCATGAAATTTGTATGATATTGTATTAAAATAAAAACAATTAAGTTAATGTCTTATCTAAGACTAGGTATTATTTGTTAAATTATTAGATCTCATGAAACATTTTAATAACTATACTGAATTTGTTTTATGGAATAACGTAACATTTTAAATGAGAATATTAAGCTATGACAATTTTATCATTATTATATTTATCATATTGTTTTAATTATTGTTTTCAATATCAAACATTATGAATAGATAAAGTTGTTTTTATATATTTAGTTGTTACCTCTTTCCCCTAATAATAAAAAAAAGGTTATTTTTCATTACTTAAATTAGGAGAAATGTTTAATGAAAAAAATACAATTTTGTCATCTAACTTTGTTTAATAAATATCATAGATTTGACTAATATTGTTTATACTTTCCTGTCAATTCTATTCAATAAGTTATAAGTTTCTATTTTAGGTTATTTTTATTTTTTTTAATCAGTTAACAAGATTAATATTACAGTATTTTAAGGACTGCTTTGTGATGATATTATTGCTTTTGTCATGGGGATCTTAGTGCTTTGAAATATATCTATGTCCATTTAATAGTTAATTTTCTTAATGCTAAGTCTGAATCCTTAAAAATCTAATGCAGAACATGGGATACTCATTAAAAATGTATTAATTTTACAAGTGATAATTTTTTTAATAAATGGTATTTTATTCACTTCATAACAACAAATTACTAAGTAATATAAATAATAGGGGCCTAACAGAAGCAGATCCTGTCCATCTCAAGTTGAATGAGTCATGTTCGTCAGTGACTAACTGAAATTGTTCTCGGTGAAAACATGGGGTGTGATTTCCCTCAGAAATTAAAAACTTACTGATTGAGGCAGTACACTTGATGGAAATATGGCCAGAACTCTCCTGGAAACTGCACCAGTCTCAGGGACTTCTGACTAATTGAAAATTTCATTTCCTTAAGAAATAATGAAAAATTGGATTTTTGCAATATCCATTTTATGACCGAAAACATACTTATTGAGTACTTATGTATTTAACTAATGTTAATGCCCCAAGTATAATAAATGATCATAGGTATCCAACTACAAAGGAATGTGAAATTTGTTTAATTTACATTAGCATCTTACAATTAGTTAAGGATGTTCATTTAGACAATGTTATACTTCACAATTTTCTATCGTTTTATCAAAATAACGGAGACATCCTTAAAAAAAAATTTACAAAACTGATCTGGGCTCAAAACCCTCCCAAAATGGTAAAATATAACTATGTTTTATGGAAAAAAATATTAAAAATTATCTCTTAAAGTATTATTGTTCGTGTAATTACATTTAAAAGGACTTTAAGGATCACTTAAACACCCTTTCATATAGGTGGTTAGTTTCTTTCTTTTTTTCCTAAGTAATTATGGTAAAAAAAAAAGCTCTTGGGCTGAAGCCCTTCCAAAATTAAATCCTGGATCTGCTAGTGATTATTACCATAAGATCAGCACATTTCAACCTTCCTAGTTTCATAATTTTAATTGTATCAAACTCTCCGAGTATATTTCCTGCTTTATTCAATACCTCCAAACTACTATTAATCAAATGGAAAAATAAACTCCTAAACTTTAGTTTTAGTCCATATTTCTGATTCATATTGAGAACTGTGTGAATCAGTGTCTTATCTATATTCATCCGGAGAGACACAACATTGCTTGAAATATGTTTTTGCAGTCCTAAGATGCATCCGCATGCAGTTATGAATTTATTCTTATCTTAATGGTTTCTACAGATAAATAATTTTCATTGTTTTTTGTGAGCCTAGGAATTTGAACATAGGAATCTGTTTTCAATTTTTCAAAATTTTCAGCTTGGGTACTTTTTCTGGAACCTTATATTTGGTGTTATATTCATCTCCTAGTCCCTTATCAGCAGCCTCAAGAGTCATGAATGCTATATATATAGCAAATCTTAAGTGGCCTACACTATCAATGTCATCAGCTTATGCAAAATATTGGACTGATATACTGTATATATGTGATTTTGGTCTGTATTCCTGAATTTCGGATAGCTTTTTTCATGGCAAGATAAACATAAAGAGCATGATAAACTATCACTAAGCCTTATGATAAACCAACATTTCACTCTTTTGGTGTTTTATAGAGTTCATTTCTATTGATGCTGTCATAGGCTAATTTGAAGTCCTTAAAGAGGCGATTTATTTGGATTTTATGTTCTCTTTTCTTTTCTAAGATGGTCCTTAGATTAAAAATGTGTTCTATCAGAGACTTTCCTAATACCAATCTACTTTGATGAGGATCAATCTCATATTTAACAATTGGGAGATATCGACGAAATAATACGATATTGAATATTTTGCATGCCCATCTAAGTAAATATATTCCATGATGACGATGATGATCGCCATCTTAATAATTTTTTTTATGAACTAGGTATATAATTGTTTTTCTCTAATTGGTTGGCAGAGTGAAATGATGTTTTGTAGGGTTTAAAAAAGTTCGTTACCAACATGTTAGAAGAGCCATCAGCATATGCGAATAATTAAACTGCTGCATGTAATAATATATATGTTATTAAAAAGAAGAAAAAAAATTAAATTATTTATCTAATAATTTACCGAATAAATTTAGCATTTGATATCAAGAAAATTCATAATTGGCTGTAAATGTGGGAATTAGTTTCTTTATCGACTGTAGAACAAACCATGATAAGTCTCCTAAAATCCCATGTCCGCTTTTATCCAAAATGGAGGGTTAAAGACCACCTAGAACTTTCTGTCTTATTTTATGCTTTTCCTCATATCTAGGTCAAAAACCATCATTCTTGAATTCCAAAAGTACTAATATAATCGCCAAGGATGTTGGTTTTAGATTCCATCGAAGTTCATCTGATAAAAAAATGATAAACGATCTGTAAATATATTTGGGTCAATAAAGCGAAAATTTTTAAGCGAAAATCATGATTTTCGTAATGTCGTCCCTCATAACTTTACAACTATTGACAAATGAGAAATAATGTTTCTCATATTTTTTGTATTCCTTAGTAAGAGGAATATTAAAAAAAATGTTTTTGGCCCATTTATTTACCATTTATTAGCAAATATTAATTTTTTTTTTTCAATATTTGCTAATGAATGGTGGAGATATTTTATTTTTTAATAAAAAAGACGCTAACTCGAAGCTGAATTCCATCGCAGATTATTCGAACTGGATAGCTAGTTAAAGACTAGGAGCTATGAACCATTCCGTTTAACCAAAGAACTTACAGTTAGTAACCATTTTTAATTGTAGATAAACTTCAACTGAGCTCACAACTTCGGTCTGTCGATGGAAAGCCATTGCTTTCTATAAGAAATTTTAAATTAAAGTGGTGAAATTTGATGTTTCATTTATCGCAACAACTGATGGCTGAAATTTTTATATAGTGTATTTATATATATATATATATATATATATATATATATATATATATATATATATATTGTAAAGAATGTGTCACTAAAATAGAATTCACTTCGACTAACGATGTAATCGGTTGCATTCTGGGAACTGACGACGTCAGTGTCATCGAAATAGTTCAGTCGAATGAAAGTTAGATGTGCGAAAAATTCAAATTTCAATTTCAGGTTCCTCTTTGTTTTTTTAGTTTTTTGGAATTTAATCTTTAATTTTAATTGAATTTGAATTTGAAGTTCCTCAATGAAATTTTCCATTACGTTTCGATATATATGCAAAAAATAGCAAAATGTCTGCACCTTTTTACTTTATTGGGTACGACTCCGAAACAATGGATTTTATCAACATTATTATTCTATACCAAGTCAAAAAATCTGGTGCGCGTAACACAAAACTTTCACTTACCGCACAACTTTGAATAGAAATTATTTTCTGGCCATGTTGGGCTATTATAAAATTTTTGAATTGCATTTTTAACTGAGCTAAAGCTAAAGAATTACAGCAAACAAATCATAAACACCTTTAAAATAACAAAAGTTTTATTTATTATATCATCGGTTAATTATGGATTGTATGATCCGTTGATTATGGATTTCACTATCCGTTGATTATGGATTGTACGGCTATTAGTTATTAAACTGTTTTTTTCCATTGCAAAGTTTATTAAAACGGAATTAAGAAGTTTGCATTGTCTGTCATAGACAGGTCAAAAGTCAACCAATAACGAATTTTCTTGAT